TTTTAGATTGTCAAATATTGAAGAATTGAATATATAGAAATAGTACCAAAAATTAAATTTTTAGAAACTACTACTATTTTTTTTTATAAAGACAATTACTTTTATCTTTCAATTATATTTATATTACAAATTGAAGGTTTTTTATAAGTATCTAAATAAAGTCGAGGTACTGATCCGACGCAGGATATTAATGTACGTTACACATTAAGGTCTTTTATAAATACTTAACTAAAATTATATAAAATTATTCGAATAGGACATTAAAGGTCGTTGTTAAAAGGATATTAATATAACAAAATTGTTCTCAAAGAACACATTGGTACGCTGATGGAACATTTAAAACAGTATCACACTTGTTTTACCAACTGTTTACGCTACATGGCTTAAAAGAACATATTTCAGTTCCATTGGTGTATGTGCTGTTACCAGATAAAATAAAAAATTCATATATTCGCTTACTGCAAAAGTTAAAAGAATTTATGCCTGGTGTTGTCACCAAGTACCATCCTCACAGATTTCGAAACTGGCATGATAAATGCTTTTACCGAAGAATTTCCAGCTTCAAAACATCGTGGATACTTTTTCCATTTCTCCCAGTGCATCTTTAGAAAAATCCAAGCAGAAGGACTAAAAAACCAGTACGACACCGATGCAGAATTTGCATTAAAACTTAAACTATTGCAAGCGTTGGCATTTGTGCCAACAATAAATGTAATCGATGCCTTTGAAGCCCTTTGTGAGGAGAATATGCTACCCGAGGATGTCCAGTCAATTGTTGACTACTTCGAGGACACCTGGATTGGACGCCGGCAAAGAGGCCAACGTCGTCGCGCACCAAAATTTCCCCTTTTATATGTGGAATTGCTAAAAGACTGTGATAGAAGGATTGCCAAAAACAATCCAATTGAAGGATGGCATCGAGCTTTCGAGGCTCAAGTTTCTGCAGAACATCCCAATATATGGAAATTCGTAAAAGCTTTACAGAGGGAGCAAAGCGTACATACCATTTAGATAGAACAATACGCAGGAGGCCTAGAAGGCCCGCCTCAACGTAAAAAGTACCGTGATTGTGCTGAACGAATATCAGCTGTTGTAAGTATGAAGAGGGGACCCTGTCTGCTTACTTACGTGGTATAGCCCACAACCTTCATTGCTGAAAAGGATTCATGGATAAGGTCTTTTCTGTATAACGAACGGTTCTTTTTAGAACCAACAATATACTCGTACATTTGATATGATAGAATATATTTTTTTAATGTAATATATTTGTCGGGGAAATTTCCAGTAGGGGAATTTTTTGTCGGGGAATGTTCCAATCGGGGAATTTTCCAGTCGGGGAATTGTTGTCGAGCAATTGTTGTCGGGGAATTTTCCTAGACTCGTGTTGTGGAACTCCGTTATTTTAGAGTATGTCGTCTAGCCTAGGCATTTTTATTAAACTTAGTGGTTCAAATTACACAATCTGGCTCTTTCTGCTAGATTTGTCGTTTTGGATTTAGCAGATCTTTCGTGAAGTTGGCCGACGCTTGATGAATTTTTTGACCTGTCTCAATCCTGGATAGTTGTTCTATAATTTCTGAAACTTTTTTGCATCGAGTACGAAGGTGTAACGAAAGGTCCTTTATTTCTCTGGCGACCGGTTTCGAAGTGATTACTTCATCATCAGGTACACCTAAATGGAAAGTCATGGAGTCTATTTATTGAAAGGTGAAAAATATTTAATACAAAAATGAAAATTGAACAAAAAATAAAACAAAGAACAAAATAGGAAAGTTAATAATAATTTGACTTACCATGACATATACATTACGGAAAAGCTACGTAATTTTAACAATAAAAAAGTTAAAAAGTCACTGTGAATATTTATAAAATTACGTCCGAGTTTAATATTTTTATAAAATTAGTACTGGACAAATTAAAAAATAAAATAGATTGGAATTAATGAATTAAGTTTTTATAGAAATAAGATAGTAAAAACCAATGACTTTTAAATAGATAAAGAGGATAAAACATCAAACAAGAAAATAGAATTATATTATAGGTATCGAAATTGAACTGTGCAATCAAAAGAAAAAATTATGTTGTAGAAAACGAAAACGATGTTGAAAGATGGTTGACATAATAGAGGAAGGAGGGGGACGTGAAAAGTTTAAATTGTGTGCCAAGCCAGGAAAAAATAATTTTTGAGAAACGAAACACGTAGTCAGAAGTATAAGAAGAAAAAAATAAGTAATGTTTGGTGTCAAATTTCCAAGAGCTAGTCAAAATTTCTTTTAAGTGTTTTGAAATTAATATTTTATTGCAAAGTAATGCCGTTCTATTACAAATTGGCGCCCAAAACTAAATAATTAAAACATATATGTAATCTTGTAGATATTTAGTTCAAAAAATATTTCACAGAAGCATTTAATATTATCTTTGTTTATTTATTAATAATAACTTTTCTCTTTAGGTCATTTTAAATAATTTTTTTCTCTTAGTATAACGAGTCATCTTTATTATCTTAACGTTACGACATTACGACAAGACTTACCTTACCTAATATATTAATTTCTTATAAAGTTTACAGTACCTTGGGGTTTATCTTTTGATAGTAATATTGATTTTGGTAATTTAGGTATATAATAATTTCGTAATTTTTTTTCTCTAATTTTTTCCTTAAATTCTCTTTATCTTTTTTACAAAAATATACCTAATGTATGTAATTTCTATCTATCTATTTTATATCTATGTTATATCGTAATTTTTGTATCTATCTATGTTATACATATATCTATGTTTATATCTTTATCTTTTTCTTTAACAATATTAATAATATTTTTTGATTTATAACTTTAATTTTTTTGGAAAATTTTAACCTTTTTCCGTAGGAGAGGGGAGTGTATTTTAGTCAAACAAAATTACTTTGACGAATGACAATACTTGCTATCCCTACCTTTTCCTCTTTTCTAGGTAAATTTCAAAATTTTTTGTAACAATCATTTCTCAATTTCAGTCAAGTTTATATGTTTGTATTGGTAATTTAAAAATTGTAATTTTTTATATTGGTAATTTTTTCTTCAACAATTGCAAAGATTTTTTTTAATGACATTATACATAGTCGGAAAATTTTCTGTCCTCAGCATCACATTTTCCTAAATCGGGGGTGTAACATTTTTAAATTCCATTTAAAAATGTTATTTTAATTGTGTGACATCTTGTATAAAATGGTATTCGATTAATTTAAAATCTATTTTCCTCAAAAGTGTCTATTAGAAAAGCCAGATTTACGACCAAGAAAACTATATGGTCAATGTGCTTATTTCTTTTTTCAATTTGATTAAAGATAAGTAATGTTATATGAGTTTTGAAATTAACATTTTATTGCAAAGTAACGCTGTTCTATTACAAACAGAGCTATTGAAATATGGGGTTAAAACAGAAGAATTAAAATTATGATAAGTAATCGATTAATGATACTAGGGGGATGAAAAATTATATTAAATAGAAGCCGAAAAAGTTGGGGAGTAAATTGAATTTGAGCATTCAGCGAACATGAGAGACCAAAATTTATTATTTTTTAAAATGTACAGGTTCTCGAAGTTATTTAATAGCAATTTATTGGAAGTTGTATGCAAAATTTCAAAACCTGTACTAGAATCCAAGTCGTGTCCAGTATCTAACAGATGTGAATCGAAATGGGAGAATCCCGTGTTATTAGTACTGTGACAACATGTGTGCTCCTTCAGAAGAACTTTAAAATTACGAAAAATTCTACCTGCATATGAACAGACAACTTGAACATTTTAATTTATATACCCCAGATTGGTCCATGATATCTATCTTATCTTTATTTCTAACGGATAAACTACCGATGAAGCTAGAAGTTTTGGAACTAATTCTGAAGGAATCCTTGAACAAGTTCACTATGCGATATCAAAATTTATCTGTAAAGGTAAGTGAAAGAAACTCACGGTTGTCTGGTTCAATGTGGTGTAGGGAGTAATTATGTAACTATTATTCTGAGTTATTCTGTTTTCTGTGAAGCATACTATCGATCGGGTTCTGATCATTATATACACACACATCTTCTTACAATTATTCTGACTGTGTTTTTAAAGTTGAGGAGTTGAGTTACTTAGAAAAGGAATTAGGTTTGCTCCAGTGATTAGTAATTGTAATTCTTTTAAAAATAATTTAGAGTTGCTAGCAGTTGAAACAGAATCAATTTTCCAAAACTTTAGTTAATAAAGACTTGCTTAGAAATGATGTAATTAATCTACTTAAAAAAAAAACTTCTGTTTCAAATTATACTTCTGCTAAAGGCTCTTTTTATAATAAAAATACAAAAAACATTTATAGAAAAATCATGAACAACAATTTAATATTAACTAAAGCCGATTATTATTTTCGATTAATGGAGTAATCGAAATAATCGCTAATCGATTATTTATTTTGATAATATCTCGGAATTTCGGATATAAAATAATACTCTTTAACAAAAGTCCATTTTTCCTTCAATAACTTCTTTATTCGTTATGTCTTGCAAATTAAAATGTCTCTTTCCAGTAACATATTTGCTAAAATTATCTAAATACTCTAATCAGTTTCTTCGTCAAATTCTGCTAAAATACCAATTTCTAATTCTTATTCCATATTTATTTTTGTATTTATAACAAAAATCCACTCAATGTCTTTTTCTGAAAAATAAGGTTAGAAATAGAGTCGAGTCAAAATTCAGGTTAGCAATAAGTGCTATTTTAGTGGCCGCTTAATTCTCAACTAATTACATCAGCAACATAATACCTGCAGTTATGTGAACTTGCAATATCTCTCCAACAACACAATGTTCATAAATATTTTACATGGTCCTGGTATTTATAATAGATTGTAATAATACACAATCCAAAGCAACAAAGTGCATTCTTTATTATAACAACACCTGATGCATTTGTATTGTTCGTAATTAAGAGAAAGTACTTTAAAGAGTGAAAGGTTAAAAGTGAATTGTATCTACTTACTCGTTGACGACGGAAGATTGGCAGACATGGCTGTGGAAATTGTCAAAATCTGAAAAGAAAAAAAAATCGTTTTAAACGTTAAGATAAAATGGGTATTTTAAAAATAACCTATACAAAGAATTGAACTCGCTGTTCAAACAAAATTTAGACATATTATTTTTCAATTAAAATTAAAAAATCACTTGATTAACCATGGCCCTATTCTGTAAAACTCCACAGTCAACAGAGTGACCAAGGGTTAAAATCCCACACTTGAGCAACTGGAAGGGAGTTTAGCTAGAAGCACATATTGGCACACTCTTTCTCCCCAGAAGTCAAGTGCAGACTGTAGAGATGCTTCTGCAATTAATATAAGCATAGAATGTGGGGCTATAGACCACGCTGAGGAAGATCGTCAGTAGGAGAGACGAGCACAAAGGCCAAATCCTCAGGGTAGGAATAGATGATCTATCCTGCCAGAAGATCAAAGATAATGGATATGCTCTCCATTATCGGTTCCGGAAAATCCCCGAATGGTCTTCAAACGGTGAGGACACAGACAGCAATGAGAGCTTGAACCTCTCAACTCTCTAACCAGACTCATCTGAAGATGTAGTAATCAAAGAAGAATAAGAAACAGAAAAAGAGGCCATTAGTGGGGACGACACCCCTATCGATGAGAATCAAAATGGCTGTCATTAACTTAGCCCAAGTGAATGTCCATCACGCCAAGGGAGCATCTGCTGTGATCTCCAGGACATCCACAAAATACCAAATAGGGATCGTACTGATCCAGGAACCATGCCAACGAAAACCAGGTAAAAGGACTCGCATGTAAAAATGAAAGGATAATTTATCATACGACTGATGAAGTACCCAGAACATGCAGTATGGTAAGAAATAATATTAAATATTTTTGTCTTTTAGAATTCATGACGCGTGATCTCGTCCCAATTCAAGCATAGCTTAATAGTTTCTAGTTACTTCGCAGGAAATGAGCCTGTACCACCCTCGAAAGTATGGAGGCCAGTGGAGTACTGCCAGAGAAGAAATCAGTCATTATTTCTTGGATTCAACGCCAAAGCACACAGTATTATATAGGAAAGCAACGACACCAATCAAAGAGGTGAGCAACTTCTAGAACATATTTTTAATAAGAACCTTATTGTGAAAATATTGGGAATGCACCAACATTTGTAACAAGGGCAAGAAGGGAGATATTAGATATCACACCAAGCATTAAAGTCTAGTTACAAACTGGATTCTATCTGATCACAAGATAATTGTGTTTACGTTAGAGAACGACACTCCTGAGACGATCCTCAGAAGGAATCCTAGAAAAACAGACTGGGACAAATACAACACCGTTCTAAAACAAAATTTAGCACGTGTCCAGACAAAAATGGGGCCCAGGCACCCACTTGCTCTGGAAAGCGAATTCGAAGAACTAAATAAGGCCAATACTTGAGGCATATGAATCAAGCTGCTCCATTCAATGAAATAGAACTAGTAGGAATGCTCCTAGGTGCAACCCCATCTGTCAAACTTACGATCCGAAGTGCGGAAGCCCTATAATAGGGTTAAGCACAACGGAGATGGACAGAGCTATACCAAAACATTTACCACCTACAACAAAGGAAAGCTAAACGTAACAACTTTAAAAAAATTTGCGAGGAGATTAACTCTATACCTGCGGCAGCGAGGCTGCACAAAGCCCTGGCTGAAGGGAGATTTGATACAGTTATGGCGTACCGAAACTGACTTGGATCACACCTTTTCTAATAGGGGACACAATTAAAGTAAGCAGACCCCCTAAGAGAGGCCGCTGTGGTGACCAAACACATATGTAGCAGCAATCGGTTAAAGTGGGCAGTAAATACTTTTGAACGGTTTAGGTCTTCAGATGTGGATATAATATTTTATGCCCTGCTTCAGCCGGATATCTCGAAGAGCAGTCTGGAACTAGGATATATACCAGAATCATAGAGAAGGGCCAAAAATAGGGAAAAAGGATACCACACATCCTAAATTCTTCCGACCAATCAACCTCACATCCTTTGTATTAAAAACAGAGGAGAAGGCTGTTGATAATTATATCAGAACATAAGTCCTGGAGAGGGTGCCAGTCCACCGCAACTAGCACGCGTACCGAGCAGAAAGATCTACAGAAACTGCCCTGGTACAGTTGATTGACGTAATCCAGGATGCACTAACAACATAGCACTTAGCCGACTTATGCCCAACATTAGTGGACCTAGTAGCAGAAAGAGGGAAATCATAGGAGCCACAATAAACTCAACGCTACTCTACGCCGTACCAATATGGCATGGAGCCACAAAAATCCAAAAATATCAAAACCTACTGAGCGGCGCACAAAGGAAAGCACTACTAAGGATCATTAACGCATACAGAACAATCTCTAGCAAGGCAGCACAAGCAATAGCCGGAATTATCCCTATTACCATTAAAATAGACGAAAGAAGGCGTTTGCAACCAAAGAAAAGATTGAACAACGAACTTCGCAAAAAAAGAAGAAAGGGAAATATCGATGAACAGGTGGCAAAGTGGATGGGTAATGACGGAAAACATGGCACAGTGGACAAAAAGGCTCATACAAGACGTCATAAAATGGACTAAATGTCCATTTCGTAAAACAGACTACTATCTCACGCAAGCTCTAAGTCGACATGGATCCTTCAGAGCCATTCACCTACCGGATAGGAAAAACAGTCGTTGACGAATGTATGTACTGCGGAGAGATAGACAGCGTCTGTCATACACTGTACAGATGTGTTAGATGGGCGCAGACAAGAAACGAACTGGTTGTGCAAATCGGCGAAGAGGTAAACGAGGAGAACATGGTACGTGAGATGATGAAGTGTAAGGAAAACTATGAAAAGATCCATAGATACATAAGGAAAGACAAAGAGAAGGAAGAAAGAGAGCATGAAACCATAGGTTAAATGCAGTTAACGGAAGCCCCCACCCTGATTAAATGTCATACAGGCGGTCCCGGGGTGGACCAAAGGCATGTTTGTGGGTATGTGCTCTGAACAACGCAAGTGTCGAGCCCCACACTACCTACCGTACGCGGAAGGTGTTCATAACGTGAATTTTCATCACAAAAGAAGGATACATTAACAAACAAAAAAACGATCGTGTGTGCCTTCCAAGATATAGACAACATGCCACACAAATCTGTTAAAAGAGCTCTTGCATACAGATGAGTAGATACCACCACATCCAGTTGGATGGCTTAGCTCTATCTATGAGAGACACAGATAGGACAGGGCACCATCTTCATCTGCATAATCAGAGAATGTCCACAAGGAGGAGTTCTATCCCCAACAATGTGGAGTCTAACCGTAGACGAACTTCTATGCAGACTGACTTGCTATAGGCAACTTTGGAAATATTCTGTATGATATAGTCCAAAGAGGACTAGAACACACGAAAAGATGGTGCCGCGAGATGAGTGAGTATAAACACAACGAAAACATTACTAATAGCCTTTGTCAAATTAGACAGGATAGATATAGAATGGAAAAATGAAGTTAAGTATCTAGGCCTAAACCTGGACAACAAACTTCTCTGCAACTTACATGAGAAGGAAGTAGTAAATAATGCCACAAAAGCCCTAATGGTATGCAGAAACATTGTAGTGAAATGAAGATGTAACCCACTGCGATGGATGTATACTGCAATAGTGAGACTAATCATCACTTACGGGGCTATAGCCTGGAGTAACAGAACTAGTTTAGCTACTACGAGGGCTAATATCTCAAAAGTACAAAGACTAGCCTGTGTTTGCATCACCGGTGCAATGAGAACCTGTCCTACGGCCGCAATGGAGGTGATCTTAAACCTCACCCTTCAACATTTAATGAGAGAATGTGGCAAAAAATACACGATATAGAATGATCAGTACGAAAGTCTATTGGCTTTAGGACCAAAGATACCTGGAATATACCCCAAGATGAAATGAGGAAGCAGTACAGTTTTGGAATGGTCTTAATAATTGATAGAGGGATTTTTAAGATTCGCTTCAAAATTTTTACTTATTTCAAATATTTCTGACTTTTCGGATTTCGATTTGCGATACTTCACGATAAAACGTTCACAATTTTTACTCTCTGATAGTTAACAGCGAGTTATAACTTATCAGTCTGATAGTGATTTTTCGTATTCATCATCAAATATAAATAATGATTATATTTATTAATAGTAGTCAAATAAAAAGTATCTTCGTTTTTATTATTTTTGATACTTTTCACTATTATGTCAAGAATTCCAAGTGGAACATTCTAGTTTCTATAGCCATTAGATTCTAGTTTGTTTTGCTGTTTCATTATTGAAAAAAGAAAAGAAGATACAAAAAATATGATAATGACAATATGAAAATCCAAAAACACCGACTTCAGTAGTGAATGATTGAATTGTTCGTGCTGATGTCATTCAGACATATCACATTTTCGGGTTGTATCAAAGTTTCTCAGGATCGCAAATGTTAATGACCGGCTAGAATGTTAATTTAAATAACTTGTATTTGTGTATAATTTTAAGGAAAGTTATAAAATTTAACGACTGTCTCTGAACCGTTTAATTGCACTGGTAGAATCAAGAAAATTCATCTTGTTTTCAGGAAACAAACAACATCCTCCATTTAAAGTAAACCGACATTTATATACTTCGTGTTTAGAAAACAATCGGTCTCTCTCGAGCCGCATCTTTTGTCGCTTCTTTTGTTGCCGTACCGTGCGTTTATCACTGACGCTGAAAGAAGAAATGACGTTGAAGTTGAAATTACCGGTCATCGGCCTCAAGTTAGTGCCTTATAGGGTTCCACGGAACTTATGTCCAAGAAAATTGGCCGTGACGACGACAACGATGGTGGAATACCACACTGAAATTATAGCGGTTTGCATATCCGCCTGTAAGAGGTTATTTTCGCTGCAAAAACAAATAGGATATTTAGTCTATCACTGTAATTTGCGCTGTCAACCGTTTAGAATGTACCGCAATTTGAGTTTTAAGCCTTAAAAAAGTTAAAACTTATTTATAGGTACTGAATATGATGCATACTTTGGAAGAGTATTCCAAGTGGACTATGCTCTAGATTTTGACAGTTCTCAAATTAATTATTAGAACTGGCAATGTTTACAATGTTTATTTTCTTTTAACCCTCACCGCACCAAAATAATTTTAAAACTTTCGATTCCAGAACAGGGTCAAAATTGACCCAGATACAAAACTTATTTTTAGAGGTTTTGAATACAAAACCTTGGGAATCACAATAAAACATGTTTTTATATTATACTTTACTTTTATTACAAAAAAAACAACAAAATAAACTTATTATTCATAAGATAAGGTATAAATATGTCACTGCAAAAGAAAAACGTCAAACTAAATATTATTTTATCATGATAATAAGAATAAATTTATTTTTATTTTGGTAAATCACTAGAAATACATTTTTATTCTCCATCTTCATCTCTTGAACAACAAGAACAAACTACTGTTTTCTTAATTGTGATATTAGAGTGTAGGGGACAAACAAATTGTTTGCACTTGTCACATTTTGTGGGATATTTATTATCGTTGCCGCGGCACTGGAAGCATCGACTCCTCTTGGCGTTCACGCTGGGCTTTAGTTGTTTCTTTTTTATTGAAACTTCCGCATAAGCATGACATGTACTTGCAGAAAACCCGCCTACTGTCCTTATGAATATTTCCAGCCGGTCGTACGATATGGTCACGGGTCAACATATTACCTAGTTCTTCCAAAACAAGTTTCCTTGAAACTTTCATGTTACCATTAGAGCTCTTACAGTCTGGGTTTTTCAGAGTCCAGACAACGAATGCATTATAAGCAGCAACGTCACGCCAGTTGTAAAATAAACGTACAGGCCATCTTCTTGTGCACCTTTTGGTACTGTACTCACGTACAATTTTATTCAAGCAGTCGACACCACTTTCTGTACCATTATATTAGGTAATTATATCAGGTTTACATTTTAAATCTTCTCCGGCGATTTCGTGTTCATGATGCATTGAAGACAGCAGTACAATACATTTCTTGGGCTTGGTAACGTAGGACACTAAGGTAAGATCCCGTGTAAAAAGGCACTGGGAAAAATAGGTTGCTCTTTTCTTAATATCCACTAAGCACTTTGGCAAGTCTTTGCGAGTTTTGCGGTCTGTACTCACGATTGTTAGATTATGGGACAAAATTTCTTCTGCCAAGTCGTTATATTTCGTCCACTACCATACCAGTGGCTTGCTAAAGATTTTACGACTTGAGGACCTTGATTATTTTCTGCTATGCCATTCAATTTTCCTAAATACACTTCAAAATTGCAGAAATAGAAATTATCAGCATCACAAAGGGCCCCTACCTTTACACCATATTTGCCTGGTTTACTTGGTATATAAACTTTAAATAAACAACGACATCGGAAAGTTACCAACTGCTCATCGATAGTCCCTAAAGCTGCTGAAGGCTTGTAAGATGTTCTGCAATTATTGGCAAATATATCGGTAATCTCACGAATCGGAACAAAATTATCTTGCTACTTTCTCTCAGCTCTTGTAGATAGGTCATCAAGACGGAGATGACGTAGAATGAACGAAAACCTGTTTCTGGACATAGTGGCCTGATAAATGGATCTTGTGAAAGCATTGCTTGTAGTCAACCATAAATCTCGTAAACTTTCTCTTGATTTACAAAATCTACCGGTGAGGATACAAATTCTTAAGAAAGCAAGCATTTCTGTAGTGTTCACCTCAATCCATGACTCCATCTTGTCTTCACGGCTTTTATTATAGGTATTTATGAAGTCATTAGCCTCTTTGTTTGTGTATTTTATAATAATATCTAACAAGTCTTCAGAAAAGAACAGCTTGAAACAGTCAGTAATAGAAATCACATTGTTACTCGTATCTGTAAGACCTTTGCTTTCTTGCAAGATATTGCATGATCTGGATTTTCCTGTTTTAGGTGCTACAGTATACATCGTACGGCTTCTGGCGAATCCGGTAATTCTTCATCTTCTTCTGATGAAACACTGCCTTCAAGTCTATCAGCTTCTACGTCCTCAACATATGAGAAATCACTAAATGCCTGCTTCAAAGGTATTTCTTCTTCAAACTCGTCATCTGAAGACTGTGTTAGGATTTTGTATAGGTCCCTATCGGATAGGCCCTTTTTGTTAGACCACATCGCACTATTGCTTATTCACAAAAAAAAGACTGGACTGAGTAACGTTTAATTGCAGACTGATGGCCAAAGCGAGAAATTTCGAACATGTGCAAAAAAACGGGAGAAAAAGCTTGCTACGGCTTGTCGAGTTAAAGAGTTTTAGCGTATACCGCTGTTTCCCAAAACAGGGTCGTTTGTGACCCATTGACAGTTTTCCGGGGAAAAATAGTCTTTTTAGGAAAATTCATGCCAAAGGCAACATTCTTGTCATAAATTAGGAGAATTCACAGAATATGTCAGAAAAAAAACTTTGAAAAAAGTAGCTATTATAGAATTCACGGTTGCTAGATTAGTCTATGCTGTAGCATACAGTTATGCTACCGAGCAAGTTAATTTGATCAAGGTCAGTTTTTGTATTAACACTTTGTGAAAATCAGAATTCTGAAAGTAAAATCTGTCACAACTAGTGGTTACAAAAGTGGATTCCGCGTTATTTGGGAGCAACCAAATATTCTTAATGGTTAAGCGTAACAACTAGTTGATAAGAAAGAAATATTATGGACTCTGGATAATAAATATTTTAATAAACCAAGAAAATAATGGGAGGTTAGTTTATTGATGTGAAAATAGATATCAGAACTAAATAGGTATATTATTTTTTCTAATGGTTTCATTTAGGAATGAAGTAAGATTTCAGCAAAGGCTACTATTTCTTGCATTCTGTATAAGTAAGGATAGGTACCCCTTTCATGGAACTTAGGACTTAATAGACCCATTGTGAATCCTTCAGCGGTATTTAGGACCTGCCTCTCAACTCGCCAAAAAGTTTGCTAGTTGATACAACGTCACTGAGAGTAACCATCTCTTAGATCATCAAAAAGCCTGCAAGTCTGCGTGACTGGCTTGAAATTAAAAAAAAATGCTGTAGTTCTAAAATTTCACCTAGAGAGCAACATGTATTATGCAATTTTATTTCAAGCAGATCTGCAGGTCTTTTGACGATCTGAGAGGTAGTCTCTAGACATCTTACCCTAAAGGCAGCTCCTGCTCCAGCCTCTGGAAGATGCCCAATGGGGCTATTGAGGCGTAAGTAAAGTGAAGAACCCATTTTATAGATACAGATTACAAGTAAGAAATAGTAGCCTTTGCTGAAGTCTTACTTTATTCCTAAAACAATTAGAAAAAATAATATACCTATTAAGTTCTGGTAAGTTCCGATTATCTTATCAATAAACATACCTCCTATTAATAATGTCTTGGTATATTTAAATAGTTATTATCCAAGGGTCAATATTTCTTTCTCAGCAACTAGTTGTTATGCTTAAGCACCAAGAATATTTGGTTGCTTCCAAGTCACTCGGAATCCACTTTTATAACTACTAGTTGTTACAGAATTCTGATTCTTTCAAAGTGGTAACATAACCTCTGACCTTGGTCTATTGCTCGGAGGTAGCAACTGCATGATACATATTAGACTACATATACTTGTAAGACTGACTTTGTCAAAGTTCTTCTTCTTCTTCTTCAGTCCAGTAAAGAAATGCAATTTTGCAAAATTAGGCATTCCAATCAAAATGATTGCCTGTGGCCATTGATATGGCAAACCTGTGGGCCTGGTGGATTTGACCGACCCAGTGATGTAGATAGTTATATAGATTGATCAACCATATGTTTTTCAAAATAAGTATAAATAAATTGGTTTTAAAACGCATTTTTGCGAAATCGATTCCAAGTAATGAGCATTTGCGGGGCAATAAGGCCACTCACAATGCGACCCGCTTTGAGCCATCTATGTAACTATACATATCATTGACCCTGTTGAAGTCATCAGGCAGCATTTTGACAGGTCGTTGGAATACCTCTATTTATCTTTGACCTCTTATAATATCAATAAAAGTAATATGTCAATTATATTATTGTTACCACTGAGCTAAGCTCTGTAGTTGTTACTATGAAGCCAATCCTTATTGGCGATTCAAGCTAAGACAACGGTTTAAAAAGATGTTCGTAAATAGGTATATTCCAGTGTTGCCTACTGTAGCAAAATTCTGGTATTATAGATGATTTTCCGAGGGATTTTCAGCTTATGGAGTGGAGACAAGACTTTCTTAAAAGAAAAATTTGTATCTACCAATAAATTGTTATCACATTCTTTATTTATTTACACAAAATCGTTTTATTTATATTGAGATTTTTTTAATATCAGATAAGACTTTTTTTTGAAAGAGAAATTTGTATCTACCAATATATTGTTATCACATTCTTTATTTATTTACACAAAATCGTTTTATTTATATTATTGAGATTTTTTAATATCAATTAATTTACCTATTTCTGTTGATAAATACTGGCGTATTCGCTTGTGGTTATTGATAGTTGTGTAGTTATTATCACTGTTTAAAAGTTTTGTATTCATATGCATTACATTAGTTCGTTTTTTTTTAGTGTTTTTATTATTATGTATATCCAATTATATAATAATTATTGTGAATAAAATATGGCATGTACTTACCAGAAGTATGCTTGGCACCATGCCTAATAAATGTGTGAAGTTGTGTCGCGCCATCTGAAAATAGAAAACGTAAAATAAATAAACAAGTAAACAAAATTAATAATTAAAAGTACAATACACTACTAGAAATAATTAAAGTGAAAAACATAACCTAACAAAAGTCTCACTTCTTGCAGAAAGACTAATAATCATCAATTATATTTTCATTTACCACAAAGATGCCAAAATGACACGTTACACCCTGTTTAAACGTTGTTTAATTCAAAACCCAAAAAAAGAACTATTTGTGGTTATGTTTGCGTACATAAATTTAGTAGACTTGAAATATTATGATTAGAGAGTTAAATTAAGTTCGGTCTTATTTTGATATCTGACTTTATTAACGATTGTGCCTGTCCTTAATTGTGGATGTTTAAGGACAGCAGATAGTGGCGACTTTATAGCTTTCGGGTGCACTCGCCGACATTCGTATCAGTCGAAGTTTTTTAATATTAATATCATTGTCATCTAAACCTTCCAAAATGGTAATTTCTAATGCCTCTTCCATATTATGTACTATTATAGACAACAAAACAGATGAACTGTAATTTAAAATTTTTAAAATGAGTTTAAAAATATGTATAAGGACAAGGAATAAGTCTTATTTTAGCATGGAATTTATTTGCTTATAATTACGTTGTCACTATTAGTGGCTGTCGTTATAGAAATTTGCAATATCTCTCTAATAATTACAAGACTGTATTATAGAAAATTAGCCTTTTACTTTACTTTTAACTAGAAAATTTTATACAGTCTAATGATGTAAATCGAAAAAAAAAAAAACGAGATATAAATAGAGTCGACATGAAAAACCCTGTGGGACTAATTGATGTTAAAAATATGCTATTATACCAGTAAATATACCAACAAAGTTTTAAGGTAGTAGGGAACTTAAAAATAAATATTGTCTGAAAATGCTTCGTTAAAGTTAAAAAGAAAACAATTTTTAATCAATATATCAAAACGTTTGAACCGACCTCAATGGCATTTTCTTTTTTCACAGTTTGTTGATATTAAAATGAAATATTCCGCTTCCAGTTTACACACAACCAAACTTATATGGAATCATCTATTATTTTTCATAATTGAACATTTTTTGTTTATGAATAACACTCAGTCCTTACCAAAGACTTTCAATGACAAATTAAACACAATGGTATTTTTTTGGTTTCTGAAACGAAATTATATTTAAATTTTTAATAGCCAAAAAGCAAAAACAAGAGGAAAATTGGTAATTTTTACAATTCCTCTTACCACCTCTAGCCCTTATGCAAGCTTCTATTCGTCTTGACATGCTTATTATTAAATTGTCAACATTGTCTTGGGGTATGTTTTCCCATTCTGTTAATGCTACATCAATAAGCTGAGCGACATTTCCTGTATTGTTTCGACGAGCTCTAACCCTTCTTTTGAGATGATCCCACAAGTGTTCGATAGGATTTAGGTCTGGTGAACATGCAGGACAGTCTAAAACTGTGACACCTTTCATTTCAAGTCATTCTCTAGCCACTTTCCTGATATGGGGAGGTGCATTATCGTGCATAAAGATAAAATTATACCCAATTGCAGCTCTCCAAAGCCTAAAGATTGGTTTTAGCACTAAATCAGCATACCTCGGACCGTTTAAAGTTTGTTGATGTGGTGATAATAGAGTTTTTGCTCCTAGCATAATATCTCCCCAGAACATTACAGTTCCTTCTTGTTATCTTAGGACAGATCTGACAGCGTGGAGTCTTGTTCATCTTCCTGGAGCTCTGAGAACTCGAATTCAATGATCTAATCTTAGACCAATTCTGGTCTCATCCGAAAAAAGAACATTTTGCCAATTCTCAATTGTCCAGTTTGGGTGTTGAAGGCACCAATTTAGCGGGTCAATTTTATTTTGCCTAGATAACGGTGGGACCCGTAACTCTCTCCTACTGTACAATCATCGAGCGCGAAGTCTTTTTCTTAGGGTTTCAACTGAAACGTTTACACCTGTAGCTTCCAGAAGTTGTCCTTATAGCTCTGGATGAGAAACACTGGGATTATTTCTAGCAATTTGGCACACAAAGCGGTCCTGTTGTTCAGTTGTGACTCTTTGACGACTTTGTCTGGGCCTGTTCTTGAGAGTTTCTAGTTCCAAGTACCTTTTATATTATTTCAACACAACACCCGTATCGCCTACTAGCTCTGCTATGTCTCATTGGGATATTCCTTGTTCAATGAGAGCAATATTTCTTTCCCTCTATACATCTGTTAGTCCAACATAATGCACTTTGTTGTTTTTTTTGGACCGAAATAAAATTACCGGAGGATCGTGGTTGTACTTCTGAACACAAAATTCACAAGACAATAAATTGCAGCACTCGTTTCTTCTTTATTATCATGTTTGTTTTGAACAAAAAGCCTTATCTTAAAGTTGGATACCAAATTTTTTCCTTACAACAAGTTTATTAAGAAATAGGCAGTGATTCCATATAAGTTTGCTTGTGTGTATTTTATATACAGTATGTCGCACTTAAAATAAATACACGCCTGTATCTCGTTTGTTTAATATTAGATTACTTTCAAAACTGCACAATAAGTATATAGCCTTAGCTCAATTGTTTTTTCGTAGTCGCATTGAATATTTACCATTAGCGTGCAGTTTTAGAAGGAACAGAAGCGGACGATATTTTCTAAAGTAATATTAGATACTTTTTTTATATAAATTAAGATATCCAATGTGACCACAAAAAAACAAACAATTAAGTTAAGGCTCTATACTTATTGTCCAGTTTTGAAAGCAATCCGATGTCAAACAAGCGAGATACAGGAATGTATTTATCTTAAATGCAACACACTGTATAACAGTAAACGCAATTTCAATGATCTACCCTAGAGTCTAAAAAGAATTGAAAATACATGTAAATTTAGATGGGAAGGAAAAAATTTCCTATAGGAAAACCATATTATTTGCTTCGAGATTATTTGAGGATGATCTTGACTCAAATTAATTAATAGGACCTAATAAAATATGACCATTATTATTGTTAATATTGTAATTAATCGTTGAGGTTTTAGTTTATTTGTTTTATTTTAATACTGTACTTTTAAGTTTTTTCTTTTTTTTATGCTTTTGCTTTGTCAATGAGACGTAAATCTTCGTTTTGATTTGATTCATTTGATTTAATGAGATATAATTATGTTAGACCTATTAGCTTATATCCAACATTTGCATAGGTGTAAATATATTCTGAGTGTTATTATTTTTGAGTAAAATATTCTGTATTTCCGAAATGAAGTGTTTTTAGACATTAAGCAAAAAAAATATTTTGATGTACCAACCCTAAAAATTTGTTAGTACATTTTCGGGACGCCCTGTATTGTATTATGCAAAATATATCAACATCAGTAAAAAGTACGATTTCATTACTCATCAGCGTATTTAGCAATATTAAATATCCAATCACGGTTGTTTAAACCAACTAGGTGTAAAAATTACGACACGTTGTGGATGAAGAAGAATATTTGCATTGCTAAATTGACTGTTTAATGTGTATTTTGAATTCGGAAAATAGACATAATATGTTTAAAATATATTTTATTGATATTTGCCGATTATGTAATACTTTCTTCTATCACTATTTTTAATTATATGTAGGAAAATATTACACAATATTTAAAGGTTAATTAATATAATATATCCAAATACAGGTAGATGACAATAAATTAAACACATGGATTATGTAAAGTAAAAGTAAAACATTAAGAAATTAAAATAAAATAATAAACAAGCCGAAAGGAAATACATATGTAACCAATTTTTTATTTAATAGTAAAAAGTTCGCACCACAGAAAGCATTTTTATTATTTTCAGAAAAAAAATTATTCTTGATAAAAGTTGGTGCTTCATAAGTATTAAAAATTTTGTACCAAATACGAGGGAGGTAAAAAATTACGAATTTGACTATTGGGTAAAATAACACCATTTTTAAAAATAGCCATCTTGATTAAACATTTTTGAGATTGCTCTATATCCAATGGGGAATGTTCAAAAATTTTGGAATTTTTTTATGAACAAAACATAAAGCTATTTATAAAGTTTTTTTATCTCTCCATTTGACATTTTTTAAAATTTATGACAGCCGAGAATAGACCAATAGGAACTAGCGATACAACGTTGCCGGTTAGACGGTATACGAGAAGTAATATACGTTGTGTCCACCATCTTTAGACTTCTAAAATGTCGTTAAACAAATATCTTTTAAATATATAATTTCAAATTTTTTTTTTAAATATTATTTATATTTAAACTTTCACTGTGCTTTCACCATATTTATAGTTTAATTGTTTTAAAAAACGTCACCTAATAAACAAGAAAATGGCACTGACAGCACTGTATGTTTTACTGTCAATACTGTCAATCAAGAATTTGTAGTTTGTGTTGTGTCAAATATGGAATTTAAAAATTTTATGTATTTAATTTTGTACGTTTTTTTATAAATATTAAGAGTACGAAAAAGTGTTTTTCCCAAGATGTGATAATAGTTCACTAATGATTCACATTCATTAATAAAAACACGTATGGCACTCGGGGACTGCCACGGTAAAGCTATTGCAATTATAATTATTTATTTATTTTATTTATGCAGTATTTTTTTTTCTTTGATATTAATTCAAGTTACACTTTTTGAGCGTGGTGACCGATAAGAAAACAAATTTTTTTCTTTTATTGAATAAATGACAAGTTAATATTGTTTAAAATATTTTTATTATCTTACAATACATGTAGGTTATTCAGGAATTTTATCATTGAAACTATAGGTTTATGGTAACTGAAATAAGAAACATAAGTTTGAGACTTGATATCCTCTAAATATCTGGAAAATACCGCGTAAATGGTGGTCCCATATTTTGTTGTGGATTATTGTGGATCATTATTCATTTTCAAATTCAATTTTTCCGAAAGAAAAGTTGTCAACCGCTCTGATTTTTTATCAGCGAAGTTGATGTTGAAATCGCTAGCCAAGATAAGTGAAAATTTATTACCA